TAGTACAATAGAAAAATACCCACCCTAAATTTATGTCGATCATTTCCTGATTGTAAACTTTTGTCCACCGAGTGTATCGATAATGTAACAATGCAATTTTATACTATATTATTATTTTTATTAATAACATTATAGCAGATTTATTATAATGAACTGGTTTTTCAGGTATATGATAAATTTGGACTTTCTATAATATTACTATGATGCAAATAGCTTAGTCACATCAAGGCGCTGAAATTTTTGCAGATCATTACTTATAAAATTGAATTTAAAATTGTACTTATCGTTATCAAAAAATCTGCATTTAAAAATGGGATGCAGATCATTACTTATAAAATTGAATTTAAAATTGTACTTATCGTTATCAAAAATCTGCATTTAAAAAATGGAATGTCTTTACAAAGAAAAATCATGTGATTGCTGATCATTTCTACTCGATTATATCTTCAAATATTTATGGGTCAACTTAAATGACGCTCCCTGCATAATTGTCCCAAATCAAATCAAAATCAGCCCAAATTAGAGGATAGCACAACATCACGATCATTATCATCATTACATATTATTTAGTAATTTTGGTATAAACACTCCTTTTTTTAAAAAAAATTACCAAAATTGGAGCCAAGATTAGCCACATGTAATGAATTGAAAAACACATTTGCCGAATAAAGTATTGTTTTATCGGCTGAGAAAATATTAATCCGCTGAGCGTGAAAAATGGCAGATATTTTCACCGTTGGATCTACCGGGAAAAATAGTGATTAATCGGCAAATGGAACAATGCCATAATCTAATGCATGTATGATTTTATAAAAGAACAAATTTTTTGTCAGCGAACGAACTATAATCAACTTTTTGATTATAAAAAGGTGGAATTCAAAGTCTAATATTTATTATATCAAAAATAATAATAGTCTTATTAGAAACTAGAATTTTAGAATTAGTGGAAAACAATAATAAATTAATAGTTCAAAACTTGCAAGAAAGGCTTTTGAGCCCCAATGTATCCTTATAGTGAATTCAAGTTGGAAGGTCGATAGCATTCGCATTAAAATTACTTTATTAACATATAAATATTTTATCTATATTAACAATTTTGAAAATGACAACACTTCTATCAAACAATTTTCAATACTCAAAATCGACATTATCATCACATTCTTTCTTCTCTTTACGAAAAATACTTCAATTTAATAATCACCATCAATGGACATTATATGACCTACAATACCTATTTTTATTCTTGCTTGGTTGTTTTCTATTCTATATTATCGAATTCCCCGGACTAATAGTCAAACTTGTCATTATTTCATCCTTGGCGTTGGGACTCTACTTTCCGAAACCGCGATTATTCGTTTTACCATTTCTTCCTATAGCAACATGGTTAATCTTATTTTACTCTTGTCGCTTTATTCCGGGAGACCGCCGACCGCATATCTATGTCTCGGTTTTACCGGCACTCGAAAATATTTTGTACGGTGATAATTTGTCGGCTATCATTGCCAGACACACGAACACACTTAAAGATTTGTTGGCGTGGTTTCCGTATGGGGTTGCGCATTTCACGTTGCCGTTTTTTACTAGTATAGGACTTTGGTGGGTTGGTCCTCCGGGGATATTGGCGGTTTTTGCGCGTGCTTTTGGGTACATGAATATTGCGGGTGTTTTAACTCAATTGTCGTTTCCCTGTTCACCACCATGTAGGTTTTTATTTTACAGCATTATTAATGATTTATTGTTTGGTTGGTTAGATAGTAGTGTTGATCGGAGTCATTATTTTATTTATAGGGTATGAATATATATATGGTATGAACACCCCTGCTAAATATACAATGCCAGGACATCCCGGAGGTTTAGCACGTATCGATACACTTTTCAGTTCAACTACATATACCACAACATTCAGCGGATCACCAATGGTATTCGGCGCATTCCCATCACTGCATTCTGGCTGTGCCATCATACAAGCATTATTCATTTCCTATGTGTTGCCAAAATCCCGGATAATTTGTATTTTGTATGTGATGTGGATCTGGTGGGCGTGTATGTACCTCACACATCATTATATGGTGGATTTGGTCGGCGGGGGAATTTATGCCGTAATAGCATTTTGGTTCTCGTGGAAATGGCTGCCTTCTGTGCGTTATGAATTCTCTAATCGATGGGATTATGTAAAAGCTGCTTTGCTACCGAGAACGACTAACGATATCGTAGAAAGAACACCGATGTATGCTATAGTTGCTTATCCTTCCTCACGTGATGCAAGTATTGATATGGATAATCAAGCGATTGAAGATAAAAATGCCGCACTTTCCACTTCTTCTAGTTATGATAGTAACGATGAATTTGATTTGGGACATGGAGTTAATCATCACCAGCAATCACATTACCAAAATCCTCATGTTATTGCTTCTTCTGATAGTATCAACTTATCTGAGGATATCGAAGCTCTGTAGAAATGGTTGTTGGCAATCTCAAAAACAATTTTGATTTTTTCCCGTGATCTCTTAAAAGAGAATAAATTTAGACATTTATTTATTTAATTGTATTGAGGAGGAAGATTTATATTTAATATTTGTACATTAGTCGACATATACATTTTACAACCACGCTTGAAAAATATAATCTCTCATTTCAAAGTACGTGGTGTCACTGAAGTGTATTACAATCAAAACATCATACCTTAGACTTGTGTATATAATGTAATACGGTTTTCCATGAGCGCTGTTCAATAGAATCCGATATGATGCAGCAACCTATAACAATAAATTACATTATATAAATACAAAATTTAATCCACCAATGGCATATTTGTGGATTAAATTTTGTATTTACTTCATAATTAAGATGCTATATTATTGTTATAGGGTGCTGTACCATATCCTTCGTATACATATTATCTTTTAAATAATTAGTTATAACTGCTGCTAAGATACTAATTTTATGTAAAGAATTAGTAATTAAAAAACGAAAACTTTAATATGAATAAACATTATTCTGACTTGCTGGATCCATACAAATAAACATTTTCAATTTCCAAATAAAGACGAACATTATAAGATCATTGATTGCTTTCTCTTTTAAAAACCTTCCGCCCTTATTTTCCTTTTATGAGATTTAGTTTGTTGCTGATTACTATTACTATCAGTTATCGCAGATTCTTCTAACGATTCATCAATTTCCATGGGCACAGGTGCGCCTCCTACTACAGAATCGACAACTTGGGTTCTTTCATCAGGATCCATATAAACATATGAGTTCAAATCCTCGCCAATAGTCCAATTACCCAGCAATGCTTGTGCAAAAATAGTTAACTTTATTTTTGATTGGTTATTACTAACATCATCCCTATCGTTATTATCATTATCAATAAGAATGGTACTTTCGGAACTTTCCGGAGGCAAGTGAAAAGGCTCATAGGATCCCATACACTCTTTTAAATTTGTACTGATAAACTCTGAAGAAGACAATATTTCGTACTCTTGTCTTTTATTATTTTTTGGTATTAGAGTCTGTGAACTAAGCTCAAGATCTCGCACCAAATCATCAATAGCAAACTCGCGGCATTTTAGTGCCCACAAAAAATTTTGCTTTTGTGCTTGTTCTTCATTGCTATCCTTTTCTTCAGGTACTACTGGATACACTCTTCTTAACGCTTCCTTGACATTTTTCCAGTTGCAGTTTTCGTCCGGTCCCTGGTCCAAGAACGGAAACTCACGAAATGTCTGTAGACAGTTTATAGATTTGCATCTGCCTTCATCCGATACCAAAAATTTCGAGAGATTACCAATAAATCCGGAATTTGCGTAATTTAGCGTGTTAATTTCGTTTGTGCGTTCATACAGAGATGCGCGTTCATACAGAGATACGTTTCCCGGGTTGAACCATGGTATTGTATTTTCGGATAATTGATGACAAATGTATTGTTTCTGAGGTGCAGTAACTGTTCGATTTCTAATAAGGTTCTTGGATAGTTCGTATCTATTATTATGCAATGCACAAGTTAAAGAATTTAGATTCTACTTTTTAATTGATTCAAAACATTAACATGTAAGGGATACATACAAAGTAACAGAATGTGAAGCCTGCAAAATTAAATCACGCTCATACATCACAAAATCTTCAAGAGACATCGCAATATTGTCTTCATCACAACCAACATCCTCTATACTTTCCGAATCTTGAAAATCATATTCATCCTTTTTACTATAAAGCGTACCGACATGATGCCGCTTGTGAGATCCAAGCTGAACAATCTTTACACGCTCATCTAAGCTTGAAGTCTCGACATGAACTCGCCATAGGCACGTGTGATTCTTACATCGATATGTCAAAAATTTGATATTTCCCTTCTCGTCGTATACCCGATTCATTATAACACAAACGAAATCATACAGTAACGAATATTTTTTTAGGAATTTTTCGGCGTGATTCCAATCTGTGAAAGTGATGCCAACTCTTAGAGGTTCGTTGATTTTTGGTTCACATATTGGAGGAGTTTCAAAATCACGAGCGATATCTTTAATTTAATCATATTAATAATAAATTTTTTTGTAAATTTCTTACATCGTAATAATGAATGATACTCACATTCCCACACCTTCTCATACGGCATTCTCATGTGTCTTTTATACTCAATTTCATGATTAATACCAATAAGATTGTCTTTTGCGGCCTGCAACTGTAATTTTTCCACTTGTTTGGTAATTGGCGCCAATGCTTTGTCATCAATGTATAAATTGGGAACAACATTCGCGTCAGGTCCTAAATAATGCGACGACTTAAACAACGCGCCAGTATACGACAATTGTAAGATGGTGAAGCATAATCCAGTTTTGAGAAACAATCTTTCGTTTTCATTAATATTACTATCGTTATTTTGATTATTATTAATATTATGTTTTCTATTAAAACTAGAATCCTGCAACAGTGCACGTGCACTCATCAACGGTGGCAATCGTCGGAAAGGATTCGTCACGCTTTCATAAGAATGGTAATCGCTTTGTTTAGGGTTAGTCTGTACCAATTCCCTTGGGTAGTTCTCTCGATGGTAAACAGGATGCGAGTGCATTGACGGGATTTGAACCGGGTAGCATTTTGAAGAGATTGAGTCCGAGGCGAGAGTTGAGCTGTGGAAGGCTGTTAGTTTGGGTTCGTGTTTTGACCAAACTAGAATTAGGGATTCTGTATGCGTAACCAATTTTATTAATTAAATCCAATTACTAATAAAAACATGCTAATCATAATTAAATTATCCAAACCTTCATCCTTGCTAATCATATCAACCCCACACGGCAGATCCCGATTATGGAAATGATTCCAGCTCAATAACGCACGATTGGGAAACCGATGATCAAGCAACACGATCTTGTTTGTTGTCGCGATGACAGATTGGAAGCTGTGGGGAACAGGTGATCGCTGAAATGCGTATATCTTGTCGGAAGGTTGGCATGCGCTGAATAAAGTAACCGATTCTTCACGTGAGAAAGATGTCTGGTCGAGTGATAAAATTTTAAGAAACAGTAAGAATAATGCCATTACATAAAAGGAGGAGAGAAAAATACATTACTCGAAAATCAAATAAGTTCACGTTAGACCTCGAAGCGACCATAAGTGATTTAGGATGTGCACCGTACTGTGTATTCCACCATCGGTCATTGTCATTACCAATTTGCAACGAATATGACGAATCAAAAAGGGGGTCCGAATCTCGAAGAGTAGTATATGGCATATTTTGAATCATACTGCAGAATGTGTCGAATATCCAATATTTATTTTAAAATAAAAATTCAAATAAAATAACCAAACACACATTCACCTACATAAACACAATCAAAAAAGCACAAATACACCCCCAAAAAAACTTACAGCTTATAAAATCTCGCTCGTTCAATACGCCACAAATGTATTCCGCCACAATCATCAGTAATCACTGCCTCACCAAAAATCGACGGATTAAACGCCAGATGCATTTGCTCATTGCCATGTTTTTGTTCATCTTTATTTGGGAGCGTATCAACCGCATTTGCTATCACTGGAGATTTATTAAATTCTGGGTCGTCGGGTGTTGTTATTCGTATATACAGTATAGTTGTTCCTGTGTGAGTTCGGACACCGATCAAGGCTTTTAGATTATATGATTCAATATAATTAATTACTTTCTCCAGTATAGAAAGAAAAAGATAATTGCAAGCTCGCAAATTATAGTTATTTAAATCTCTTACAAGGATTAGAAACATCACCGATTGATATATAACCCTTACTCTCTGAAAAAGAGCATTCGATCTGTCGAATTGGAGTCTTGAATTTTGCAATTGGATTTCCGGATAGCGTGAATCCACACGAGGTAATGTTGAATCCATCGTCACATTGGTTTGGATAGAAATCCAGAAGTGCCATGTCTAAATATATCGTGCAATATACAATCAATAAAAAATAAGACCTTCCCAATCTTTGACACGATATTGTTACTGAAACTATCACTTTTAATTATTCGTTTATTTATCCATCAAACTACTCACTCAACTCATTTCCGAGAACACCCATAGGAAAGGTTATAAATTTTGTGAGATTATTTTTCTTCGGTAAGAATTCGCCAAACGCGACAAGATTACCGGTGTACAAATCGTTCCGATCAACTACGTGCTGGTATTGTAGCCCTTCGTCGAGGTATTGTGTTAATAGCTCTTCCGGGATCTCTATATCAGGGTAAAAATTTTGTAGTGATGAAACCTGATTTGAAATCAATGGGTCAATAATAAAGACTTGAGATGTAAAACGATACTGCGAAACTCATTTTTATTCAAAACATTCTTACCGATTCTTCGATATACTTCTTCTCTCCCGTCCTGGATAGCTGAAGCTCGTCTGGGACGTACGGTCGCGTCGGTGGAAACAGCTGAACAAGTGGTGATAATGGTTTAAATATGTCACTCAATTTTCCTTAAGTATAAAAAAGGGCATAGTTCGAATGAATTCAAAAATATACTTCAAATTATATGTATAATATAGTTATCAAATAGAATGGTTGCTTCTACTAACGATCAGGAATATCATTCATAAAGCTCCAGTTATTTGGATTCCGTGGGTACGTTATGCCTCCAGCAATTCCGAAACTTAGAGCTTTTGTGGGTATTGTCTTTTCTTGACGAGCCCAAATGTACGCTGGAGCAAGTTCAGAGGTTTTTCTTTTCGAGTACATTTTTTTCGTAATATATAGTTTTTATTGTATTTATAATTGTCAAGATTTAACACACACGTATAATGTTCTATCAGATACGCGTTGACCTAAAGTACCCTCACGATCATAGTACCCTACTTAGTTTTTGGTGTACAATCTAGGATTCATCATAATCGAATCTGATTGGAAGTTGGTACAGACACATGATAGATTCTGTTGGGCTAGTTAATCAAGAACACCTGATTTCAGATTTGACTGTAGTGTGTTACAATATTGTATTCTCGCAACGAAATATATATACTCGAATAAAACGAATAAAAGCCAAAATATGTCACTAGACACCACCACACCCACACTTCTCGCAACACTCCTACAACAGGAACAAGACCTCCAGTTCTTGACTTTTGACTCAACACTAGCATTAGACCTCGGCCTGCTCTTAATAAAGAACGCGATACATCCTGTAGTAATTTCAATCACGTTAAACAATCAGCTGTTATTTCATTATGCTATGCCAGGCACGGCACCAATAGATGCCGAAGCTGTGCGGCGAAAAGCAGATGTTGTTGAGAAGTTTTGGCATTCTTCGTATTATGTTGGGCAGTTACCAACACAAGCAGCACCAATAGCAATATCGTCTTTGGAGGAGAGTCACTACACTGGTGGCGCGTTTCCGTTGATAGTTAAGGGTATTGGCGTGGTGGGGTCTATTGTTGCGAGTCGATTAACTGGAAATAGCGAGGATCATGAATTGGTGGTGTCTAGCTTAAAAGAATTTTTGGGAATGGAAAAGGAGGGAAAGAATAAAGTCGAATGATAAAAATGAACAATTAAATTGCACCGTTGATAGGATGGACTACTGCACACGATGATTTCAAAAATGTGGATTATTTATTGTAAAAAAATCTATGAATGATTGTGATAAATAAATTAATATATGAGAAAGAGACCGATTCTGTGAACTTTTCTGTGGTGAGATAAAAAGTCGAGCTTTTTTATCACTATTGGCATAACAACTTTAATCTGAATCTTATTAGAGTTGATGCCCGTGGTGGTAATGAGCCAAATTATCAATGTTAAATTGAGAAATGTCTTTGTAGTTGCTAAGATGGAACGATGAATTATCCCTATTTTAAAATGATTAATCCGACAGATTCGGCATATAAATAAATGATCGATATTTCATAATGAAATACTTTAATTGAAAAATTGGTAATTAATATTTTCACTCACTTGTTCAACAATAATGTGATGCTCGACAAATCTAATCCGAGAAAATCGATTATGAAGTCTCCAATATGGGTATTCTAAAAGCATCATATAAACATCATGTTATTGTTATTTTGAGAATTAGAATAAAAATGAGGGCAACAATTAATTACCTCATGATTACCGGCGAGTTTCTCGGCATTCATTCCATGAGCGTATAAATTCACATCAACCGCTGTATGCCCATGCGTACTCCACTAATTTAACAATATTTCAGAATTTCATCCATCCAAAACACACAGAAACAACAACATATATGTATTAGATATATACCCCAATCAACGCCCGAGCGCTAGTCATATTAGATAGATAATACTCATATGCCATTTCGAATTCTTCAGGTTTACTTAAATATTTGACATCATCTTCTGTGAAATCATCGATTCCCAATTCTTCACGGATCGAGTTTTTGATAAATTCAACTTTATCTTTTTCGTTATACTCATTTATTTTTTTCGCGAGGAGGTACGAAGACATGTTTACGCGTTGAAGTATTTCAGGGAACCTAAAGCAAAATACACACACAGAAAGAGAAAGCTATAAATATAAATCTCATTTTGTTTTAGTTCCACGTAATTACCATTGGTATTGTGGATATTTTGCGATATCATTTTGTCGACTTAAAGCCAAACCACCCGTTTCGTGATCACTAACCTGTAAAAAAGGTTATCAAAGAATGAATTACATTTATATTCAGAAGTTGTTCATAGGCAGACGAAATAGTTAACACTTACAGATATCATAACTGTATTGGGGTGATTATCAACATACTCTCGAACATGATCGATGGTCTCGTAATAAGCAGATATTTCGTGTGCATGAGTGGGTGCATCGTTTCTACGAAAATCATAAGCAGATAAAATAACATAAAAAAACACTAATCCACAAAAATCGGATAATTGAACAAAACCTACGAGTGAGCGGCCATATCTAATTTTAGCAATGAAAAATAGTGTTAGAAAGTGTTAGATTAATACCATTCTAAATTGTTATAATTCCTATTACCGATTCTGCTTCCTTCAATCATCAAAAAGAATCCTTTATCCGAATCTTCCGTAGCCTTCGTAAGTAGCTCAATTGCCTTTGCAGACATTTCTTTCAATGACGGTTCAGTTGCCGGATCCCGATCAATTTCATAAGACATATGCTAATAAACAATAAACAATAATTATAGCTAAAAATTACGATATCAAAAATTCCCCCAAAAAAACTTACATCAAGTGTGAAAAGTCCCAAGATTGGAAGGCTGCGAATCGCGTCTTAATGTTAGACTTTAAAAAAGATTTTTCGAGAAATAGGTATTCGATAAAGTACCTGTTCTTTTTTATCTTGATATTATTGAATTCTTTTCGCGAACTCAAATAATGAAATTGTTTTTTCGCATCGGACATTACGTCACGAGTATCGGTTCGGCAACTACCCTCGGTGGAATTTCCGAGAAAGTAGCAACGGCCACCTCCAAACATTAAATCTACTTGTCTGCCAAGCGGATAATCGCCAATTTGTTGCGCCGCAATTTCAGATTCCATGTTTCGATTAATTACGTGCGCAGAAAACGAGGCGGGAGTCGCGTGAGTAATACGACTAGTTACGACCAAACCGGTAAGTATGCCTTTTGCTTTGGCCGATTCCAAAATTGTGCCGCATGGTGTTTGATCAGGATGAACTAAATATATTTATAACATGTAAGATTCATTTCAGATGAACAAGATATATAGTAAAATATCATCAATCATATTTTGAAATAAAAAAAAACCTCCTATCCCAGCATTATACGTCTTTATAGCACACGAAAAAGCCGTAGCACCAGCCGCAGAATCAGTAACTAGACTACTCGAGGATCGCGTACGCGACGTTCCCACAAGCATTTTGTCAAGCGGAGCTATTTGATCCCACGGAAGATCATTAACAAATTGATAGTAGGAACGCCCAAAAGTTTCCGAGGCAGGTCCGAAGCCATCAGAGATCAAGAGAATCACGTTACGTTTATTCTTTCGAGCTGGTTATTTATTGTATAGATCAGCCAGGCACATAAACTCTCTTATGTAATAATAATAAAAAATAAAAAATAACAAAATGTCGTATACCGTATAAAAGGCTTGATATTTCGAAGATAATTGCTGCTAAAGATACGGTGATGAGGAAAGCTCCAATGGCAACGGCAAAAAATTTTTTTTTCTGGGAATTTTATTGAATGGGTATTGGTTACATATGAGAATATACAATTCTATATACATTCCAAACCCGTTATTCTTGTACATACTTTTTGTTTAACGTTAGGCTCTATATATGATTGCTCATTTAACAACTGTGCATTTTCCTCGTCATCACGATTTTGAGAGCCAGCTCTTGAATTAGACATTTTTCTTTTCGCAAGCGTTAATAATAAGAATAACAGTAATAAGAATAAAGAACGTCGTTCTAAAGCAAAATAAAAAAACAATATACCGATGCCCGAACCGATTACTTGTAAATTTTGTGTTACTGATAGTCTATTCTTATCGTCATTTTTCTGGGACAAGTTTGTATATCGGTAACACAATGTTAAAGTGTATTTTTCCACATTTTTCACATTTTTCATTTTCTTTGTGTCGGATTTGCTTCGCATTCTTATTGGTTTGTACTACCCGGCATTTTATTAAACTCAATAAATGCATTGTTCGTCAATATGACAAATATAAATATTGATAATTAAAATTCATTTTTGATTTGATATTTATTGTAAAATTACAAATGAAAATAATTCTAATACATTGTAATTCAATAATGTATATAATTGTTCATTTCAATTTTACTAATAAATATTTTTTATTTTTACATTAAAATGAAGATAATATTACATATTTTAATATATATTTTTTTCA